CTGCACTTACCGCAGACGATGTGGAAAAGTTGTTTTTTCAGTCCAAAAATATGAAGACTGAGTAAACCTTGATGCTGGAACTGTTACTGCTGCACTTTACATTTTGAAAGGTTTTGTTCACTGTTTACAAGGAATTTATTTTTTATAATATTTCATACATTTGTTGCTTATTTGAGAATATTTTATTTATCTTATTAGTATTACCAAGCAGCACTTTGCATTTATTTTATTTTCCCGTTTGTATAATGTTAAAACAAACTGTTGGTTTAATAAAAGCACAAATAAACAACAAGCAAATGGTTTTGATTTTTTTTCCCCCATACTGTACTGAAAATAAAAAACAAGGTACAGACTGAACAGTGATTTTTGTGCACCGTTACAGCCCTAGGTTTTGGTATCGATGGTCACCCGGGGTATCAATTTACCTATAGCTCTACAGATGTCTGATATGTGCAAACAAACACATGTGTCAGTCTGTATTCATTTATTTATATTTTGTGGCAGTTTGTATCATTATTTTTTGTGTTTGTTGTATTTGTCACTATATGGCATCTTAAAACTTCACAAAATTAATCAAAATTAATAAAAATATATATATAAAAATAGACAAGCCCAGGCTGTGTGCAGATCTGTTCTAAACATGTGACTCCTGGAAGGGTCTATACTTGGGCAAATATCTGGGTAATCCTGCGTGTTCAGTCCCCAAAAGTACTTCATGAAGACAAATCATGTATAATTCACAACCTTTCTAAGGCTACGTTCAGACTGCAGCCTGAAGTGACCCAAATCCGATGTTTTGGCCCCTATGTGACCTGTATCTGATCTTTTAATGACAGATCAGATTTTTTCAAATGTGACCCAGGACACTTGGATATGTGCTCCTAAAACCGATACATATCCGATCTTTTGACATGCGACTTCAGTGTGAACGACCAAAGCGCATTCATCCACCTACACGTTATCAACAAGCCACAAACGTCACTATTCTGCGCTGAAGTAGGTGGCAAATTTAAGCAAATTTAAGAAAATTTTTAATGAACTCCGTGTCACTGAAACGCAGCAAATCACTATCTCACCACTCTTGACTACGTCTCTGCATCCACAAAACGCCACGGCCAAAAACCTCGTCCTTCTCCTTCTCAATCTCCTCCTTAAAACAAATAAGTTGTTCATGTTCTGGCTCCGGTACGAGAGGAACTTTACAATCTCCAGGTGCTCAATGCTCGCGTCCATGTTTGGACAACTTCCGTAAACACAGAGACGCTCGCTGCGGTTGACGTCGTCGTGTCTCCAGTGTCACATGCGGGACACTTTCGGGCCGTTTAATGTTCACACTGGAGTCACATACAAATCGCATTTAATTGGAAATGTGAACGACCTCGCAAAAACATCAGATGTCACCAAAAAAATCCGAATTGAGCGTTAAGCCCTGCAGTCTGAACGTAGCCCAAGTGAAATCCGTGTAACCATCATCTCGTAAACCCGTCACACAACCAATATAAACTGTATTTTTTAATTAAAAGTTCTGTTATTTATTTATGTACGCATTCATTTATACTTTTATCCTATCAGATATTGATCAATCCAACAATCAAACATAGAACTACAACAGTCAGAACTATGATCCCGATGTATGAGGTAAATAACAAATAACATTTTCTATTTACGCGGAAAAAGTCAAGTATTTTTTTCTTTTTAAATATCACGTACAGTATTTCTTCGCTACACTGACCTTGCAGCTTCGCATATTTCGTATTTACACATGAATAACTCCACAGATCTGCGTTAGAAAATAGACTTTTCTTTGGTCGTACTAAAATATTTTCCGAATTGCGACGTACATTCTAACAGACGCGGCTGAAGTCCGACAGCTCTCCATTGCGCAGGCGTTTGTGACAGGAAATCACCGATGTTTACTGGCTTGGCATTGACATAAGGTTATTAAAATATTCCCCAAAGTGATGAGAATTTTGCGGAGGAGGAGGAGTAAAAATAAAAATATATAAAAAGACAAAACCAGGTGCAAGCGGATGGGGCAGGCTGCAGAGTGGGATGGCTGTAGGAGCAGGAGGAGGAGGTGGGTGCGGTTGTGATCACCATGCGCCAATGCAAAACCGTGGCAGTAAAGGTGGGGCTCTTCTCGCCAAATCAAATCTTTTAAGTCTGTTTTTTAAGTGTTCCCAGGTCAGTTTTTGTACAATAGAAAACGGTTAGTCTCTTGCTTGTCATTTGAGATGGTGGTTAAAGTCTAGCTTGGTTCCATGGTGACAGCAGAATTCCTCACGTTTCTTATCTCGCTGTTGTCGCCATTGGGCCTAAGTGATAAAAACCAAAAGATCTGACTTAATTGAACTGCAAATAGCACAGCATTTGTATTGATTGACTGAAAATTTTGGCGTCTCTTAGCAGCTTCGTTAAGCCATGAAATCGTGGTTCCATGGCGTTCAAAAGTGGTAAGAAATTCTGCTATCATGCAATGCGTCGTGGAAGGGGATGTAACAATATCCAAGTATTTGAAGAAGTAGAAGTATTTATGTTTATATGGGTCCACTTCAGCCAAAAATATCATCTGTATCTCTAAAAATGTCCCAGTGAACCAATGTCGAAGGTATTTTTGTTTCGTATTAGAACTAAAACAGAGCAAAGGATCATGGTCCTTGAGGTTTTCTCTGAATTTAGTTAAGGTTGTGTTCATGCTTTTGAGTTTTTTAAGGTTTCTGAAGTAAAAACGAGGCTGAAAAGAGGCGTAAAGCTGCGTTTTTATGTTGGACATGATCGTAGTGTGTTTTGTTTTGGTTTAATAATGACAATTGTGAGCTGAATGCGCTTTCTAATGATCAAATTCAAGCATATGTAAAGGCGGTGAGGAGAAAATTCAGTTTAAAAGTTAGTTTGGTTGAAGATCATCCAAGTTGCTTCTTCAGTTCTGGTCAGACGCTGGTGGACACTTCCTTATATCTGTCCACCAACAGTTCCCGAGTACAGGAACTGCCAAAATAAGGGTTAAAGGTCCATTTTGAGCTCAAATATTTCTTCATTATAGCAATTAGTTGTCACATTTTGGGAACCTTACCTATTATAATTTTGTCTTGACAAAAAAGACACGTAGAAGTCATTTTTCTCACATTTACATCTACATACACATCTTAAAACTGGGACTAAACTGGGACTAAACCTAGAACTAAACAAGGACTAGATCAAGACAAGACCAGGACCAAACTGAGTCTAGATTAGGACTAAAGCCAGGACCAAACTGAGTCTAGACTAAAGGACAAAAACCAGGACCAAACTGAGTCTAGATTAGGACTAAAGCCAGAACCAAACTGAGTCTAGATTAGGACTAAAGCCAGGACCAACCTGAGTCTAGATTAGGACTAAAGCCAGGACCAAACTGAGTCTAGATTAGGACTAAAACCAGGACCAAACTGAGTCTAGACTAAAGGACTAAAGCCAGGACCAAACTGAGTCTAGACTAAAGGACTAAAGCCAGGACCAAACTGAGTCTAGACTAAAGGACTAAAGCCAGGACCAAACTGAGTCTAGACTAAAGGACTAAAGCCAGGACCAAACTGAGTCTAGACTAAAGGACTAAAGCCAGGACCAAACTGAGTCTAGACTAAAGGACTAAAGCCAGGACCAAACTGAGTCTAGATTAGGACTAAAACCAGGACCAAACTGAGTCTAGACTAAAGGACTAAAGCCAGGACCAAACTGAGTCTAGATTAGGACTAAAACCAGGACCAAACTGAGTCTAGACTAAAGGACTAAAACCAGGACCAAACTGAGTCTAGATTAGGACTAAATCCAGGACCAAACTGAGTCTAGATTAGGACTAAAGCCAGGACCAAACTGAGTCTAGACTAAAGGACTAAAGCCAGGACCAAACTGAGTCTAGACTAAAGGACTAAAGCCAGGACCAAAACTGAGTCTAGACTAAAGGACTAAAACCAGGACCAAACTGAGTCTAGATTAGGACTAAAGCCAGGACCAAACTGAGTCTAGATTAGGACTAAAGCCAGGACCAAACTGAGTCTAGATTAGGACTAAAACCAGGACTAAATACAAGTGTGAACGCAGCCTAAAATACTCAAGTTTGTTAGTTTTAGCTGTTTGGTCTTGACAACATTTGTGAAAATCATCCAACATCTTTAAATCTCTTTTTTATCGTCACATTCTGATTTTTGTTCCAGCTCAACTTAAACTTTGGACCCATGAAAATGTTACAACATGAACACAACCTGTAACGTAAAGCTGCACTGCGCAATTTCTTCTGCTGGAGGATCCTGCTTGTCTTCATGAAGATGTTTTGTTTTTTTTTTGTCGAGAATGTTCCACAGTAGAGATTAAACCTGTTTATCTCAAGGGAGACAACTATAATCTGCATTACAGGTCAGATCTGTGGAGAGGCGAGCCTGCTCACAGACAGAGAAACAACTGGAATGAATAAACGCTGCAGAGATACGTTTAATCTCATACAATCATGGGACATTCCAGGCGAAACAATAACATCTCCATGGATACGAGCAGGTGACGGACCCTCCTCTAGAAAAGTTCCGCAGTGCACCTTTAACTTTACTTAAAGAACACATATTACGCAACATACCTGGAGTTATATTTTGCTTCATTCATGCTTGTTCGTTGCAAATTTGTTTTCTCTAAACTATCAAAAATACTCAAATTTGCCAAGATTGTTGCGTCATAGGTAAAAATCCAGACCATAGAAAAGGATACAGACTATATTTGTGTATTTTATGATTATTTATTATTATGATTAGCTATTTTCATTATTTTAAATTAGAAAATGTGAAATACTTGTCCCAAAAGTGACCAAAAACATGTTTAAAAGCGAATTATGGTGACACGAAAGCATCATATGTGTTCTTTACGTCCACAATAAGACTTTAGAGACATTTTGCGTGATATATTTTTAGGATATTGTCAGATATTGTTCCATCCCCTGTTGTGGTTTCATGTTGCTGAGCAGAGGCAGGTCTTCTTACCTTCTCTAGTTGTGCGTTCTGTTTGGATTTGTACAGAAACTCCCCGACCGCCACGAACACGGACAGCACCAGACCGGCCGCCAGCACGATGAAGATGCCGCCGATGTTCTGCACGCCCAAAGCGCTGGCCTCTTTGCTCTCCTCCTCTGGACAACCGTTCCCTCTCCACCACTTCTCCTTCATCATGTGCAGCTTCCCCTCCTCCTGCAGCTGCAAGATGGCGATGGTCATCTTGTCCCGGTACGGAGAACCTGAGGGGACAAGATACACGTGAGTAGAGAATATGTGGTTTGGTAGTTCTTGACCAAATTAATCCTGTCATACTTATTTGACCTTCAGTACTGCCGAGGCAAACGCTCAGTATCATGTAAGATTAGATGCAAAGTAGATAAATGTACGAAGGATTTGACCCGTCCTTCAACGCAGTGAGCTCAGTGCAGCCTCTAGACCGGGGGTGTCAAACATACGGCCCGGGGACCAGATCCGGCCCTCCAAGACCTTTAATCTGGCCCTCGGCTGATTTTCTACTCAAATATTTTAATGATATTTTCTGTTAAAATATTGGTAATTTTCTGCGGTGTTTATCACAGCAGCGTCTCCAGCGTCTCTGTACGTGGCCCCTCCCACCAGAGCAGCACAAATGAAGACTTGTCTCTTTCCAAACGCTCTTAAAGGACGATCGTTTTGACTGTTGACCGTGACACCCTCATCAGAAAAATGTCCAACATGAGAAAAGTGGAGCCGAGTGCAGGATTTTACAACAAAAATTGACTCATTCCTATTTACATACAAGTTCATGCTAAAAAAATGTTGTTTAAATTGCATTTTTCTTAGTTTCAGGTTGTTCATAATATTATAATATTTTGTAAAAGAAAAAGTTCATCAGTTAAAAAAGATTTCTGTAATAGATTTGTGTTTCTCTGCACTAATATTTGAACTTATTGTTATTTTTCGGGTTTGTATGTCATGAGTTTTCTGATCAAAGTAGGTTGGATAAAGCCCCCGGACCAAAATGAGTTTGACACCCCTGGTATAGTGGCTTTTCCGGCTCTTTCTGACTCTGGCTCCCATTGACTTACATTAGAATATTGTCGTCTCTCTGTCTCTGTATCTGCTGCTGTGAGCCTTGTCATTTTGGTCTTAAACTGTTTGTATTAATCCGCTCTACATGATCCTGTTTTCTTTTTTTTTTTGTCAGTCAAAAAAATCCTATTCGAAATATAGAACCTCGCTCCAGATTCGCTCCATAACAGTGAGCAGTGAGCATCGTGAGCATCGTGAGCATCGTGAGCATCGTGAGCATCGTGAGCTTCATTTGAGTGGCGCTGAACTCTGTGGGTGACGTCACACTCGCTTAGTTCGCTTCTTTATAAAGTTTATGGTCAGAGCTGCTGTAGCTGAAGAACTGGACCTATTGTTTGTGTTGAATGTAGATGAAGAAAGCAGAGAGCCGTCCAGACACAGAGAGAAACAAACTCACAAACAGACCCCATCTGGTCGAGTGTAAAGAAATAAGACTGGACTCTGTCCTCTTGAGAAAAGCACCTGGAGGTGAAAAATATACTAATATACAGCCAGGACAAACAAGAGGTCACATCATCTAGGAATTTAACCCAAGACTCTCAACAGTCAGAGTACTGTGCAGTACAAATACTAGTAGTCGGTGTTGTACATATGTACATATGAAGTAGTACATTTGAGGATTCTTCATCACAGCTCTCACCATCAGTAACAACTGAGACTGATCCATCCATGTCAGGTGTTGTGTATTTTATTTTAAACCTTTCTTAAAAGAATAACATTGTTTAGGGTCAAACTATTATGATTTTTCATACAGTATAACAAGTTGTAGTAATAATAGTCATTTGTGGCCATACTTGTCAAAGCCTGATCCCGTCAGATCTCAGCAGGGCTGGACTTGGTCAGGACTTGAATGGGAGACACTGGGAAAATCAGGTGCCTCAGGAGGGCACCAGTTGCAAAAACTGTCGTTGTGTCCTTAGGCAAGTCACTTCACCCATATTGTCTAGTATGAAAGTGGTGTGTGTGTGTGAGTGTTGGTGGTCAGAGATGCAGATTGTCAGCCTCGCTTCTGTCAGTCTGCCCCAGGGCAGCTGTGGCTACAATAGTATCTCACCACTACGAGGTGTGGAGTGAATGAATAATGCTCTGTCTTTGTGACGTATGTCTGTGAAAAACACTATATAAATATAAATAAAAACTTAAGTAAAACCTATGTTTGATCAAATGTCTCCATCATATTTACATCAGTATTAAAAAGACAAACCCTGAAGTGCACCGGCCTGGTTCATTCGTGAGGCATCGTCTCTTTCTGTCCTTTTCTCGTCCTCTGATCAAAAACACTTATTCACTGCCCTCAGGTTGACCTCCACTGAGAAAACTCCTCTGAGTGTTTTGTTTCTGCCACATTCAGTGTCATTACAGCGTGAGCTTTAGCGTGAGGCGTTCTGTCACACCTTCACCTCTGCACCCGTCACTGCACAACATCACAAGAGAAACACAAAGCGCTCATTAGCACTAGCATCGTTAGCACATCATTAGCACGAGTGAAAATGAGCGGCTCAGTCTGTGTCTGTGCAGCTCACGCTACATGTGGATTTTTATTCTTTATTCTGTCTTTATTTTAAAGATTTTTTAAAGGTGCAGACTGTAACTTTTCTAGTAGAAGATCATCTGTTTCTCTCAAATTACCACAACTGTTGCACAATATGACTTTAAACTTTTTTTTTTGAATCCTTTACTTATTCAGTTACAGATGTTTGTAAAGCTCAAAACCCTGATCTGTAACGTGGCTTAATGGTTTGACTTGTTTGTCTCCATTTATTGTCTCAAGTGGAGGAGTTCAAGTATCTCGGGGTCTTGTTCTCGAGTGAGGGGAGGATGGAGCGTGAGATTGACAGGTGGACAGGTGCAGCGTCTGCAGTGATGCGGTCGCTGTATCGGACCGTTGTGGTGAAGAGGAAGCCGAGCCGAAAGACAAAGTTCTCAATTTTCCTGGTCAGTCTATGTTCCTCCCCTCACCTCTGCTCATGAGCTCTGGGTAATGACAATGACGAGATCGCAGATACAAGCGGTCGAAATGAGTTTCCTCCGCAGGGTGGCTGGGCGCTCCCTTAGAGACAGGGTGAGGAGCTCAGTCACACGGGAGGAAGCTCGGAGTAGAGCCGCTGCTCCTCCACGTCGAGAGGAGCAGTTGAGGCTCGGGCATCTGTTCCAGAAGCCTCCTGGGCGCCTCCCTCGGGAGGTGTTCCGGGCATGTCCCACCGGGAGGAGGCCCCGGGGAAGACCCAGGACACGCTGGAGGGACTATGTCTCTGGTCTGGCCTGGGAACACCTCAGGGTCCCCCCGGAGGAGCTGGAGGAAGTGTCTGGGGTGAAGGAAGTCTGGGAGTCCCTGCTTAGACTGATGCCCCCGCAACTTGGCCCCGGATAAGTGGAAGAAAATGGATGGATGGTCTCCATTTAATACCATACTGCCGAACATTATAGCGAAAAAAATAATAATAAAATAGCTAAATAATTTCTTTTCTTGCTGGAAATATAAATGTCCTTTGTTTATCTGCTGGTATATTTTAGTGTTTATTTTATTTATTATTAATGTCTGTGTACATTTCATGTTCCGTGTGTGGTGTGTGTACGTTTTAGGTTTAGTGTGTTTTAGTGTGTGTGTGTTTGTGTGTGTGTGTGTGTTTTAGTATTTAGTTTGCACATTTGGAGTTTGGGGAAATGCAATTTTGAGAAAAATAATGTTTATGCCGCGACTCAACAATTAAACGTGAATGTTTAAATAACAGGGGCACGTCGGAACAGCAGCGTGTGAAGAACTCTACAGTCACACTCTCGCAGTCCACGTCTTTACACAGTCTATGTTTACAACCTGCAGTAACCGTTGTGTTCAGAAAATAAACAACAAGAAGTACTTTAACGTTTTTCCTTTCACAAAAACACTACTAAAAAAACAAAAAGACAGGAGGAAGCAGATAAAGTGACTAATACTATTTCTGAATTTTGAAGCGTTTTTACTTGGTTTGTAACGATATCCAAGTCTCACGATACGATATCCAAGTCTCACGATACGATATCCAAGTCTCACGATACGATATCGTCGCGGCAAGTATTTTTTGCGATATCGTGGGAAAGCTCACGATTAGAAACGTAACAATATCCAAATCTCTCCGTATGATATTTTCACGATATACATCTCACCAAACGATATTTACTGCGATATTTTGTGAAGGCAAATATGCAACTTTTTCCTCTTAAAATTTGACAAGATTTAACCCAAAGAGCGAAGACTTAAAAGTGTTGTCTGTCTTGTCGTCTGCACTGAAATGGAGCAAAGGATCATGGTCTATGTAGTTCCCTCTGTGTTCTTTTTTTTTAATCTATTGCTGCACCATAACTCTTCATTTAAGTAAAGAGACTTGTAATTCGATATATTGCGATGGTCCACGATATTATTGCGAGAACTTTGACGATACGATCTCACGATAAGTCGGTTACTGTTACATCCCTATTTCTTACTGATAAAACAGACGCCAAATCTGAAAAGAAGTTACGACACTAAATGTATTTATTTATTTAATAGGGGCAGTGCATATTAATGAACATCCACAACACTGCAGTGTAAATATGACAGATTATAGCAAGAACTATGGAGTAAGAAAGCTGTCAAAAATATTCGTGCGCATAAAATAGAAATTAGCTGCATTTCTCGCATGAAATGCCACCAAAAGTTCCTCGGGACGCTGAAATGTCCCATTTTACACCAAACACGACCAAACTGTCCTGGTTACGACGTCACAGCTAATGAAATGTTACACATTACAGTTTAATGCAGCTTCCAGCATCAATTAATGTTCTTGTTTACAGGCAACACCTTGGTATGTTTACAGTATTTACCGGTAAGTTTAACGTCACCATGACGTGGATGGATTTGCTCATTATAACCCATTATAACTCATGTATAACCCATTATAACTCATGTAACCCATTAACATATATAACCTATAACATATAAACTCATGTATAACCCATTATAACTCATGTATAACCCATTATAACTCATGTATAACCCATTATAACTCATGTAAAACCCATTGTCTGAAATGCAGCTGAGATGAAGACTGACTGATGTTCGCTGTGGCTGTAGCCGTGAATGTTTTAATCTAAACATACAGAGAACCTGATATTTGTTAATTAGCCCTGGGATAACGTTACGTCAGATGTT